GCGATATATGTTTTTAAGCCAAATTTTTTAACAGTGTATCTAAATATACTTTTGCATGATCGATTGCCGTACGCTGTTTAATATTCGTGAAACGTAAGAGGCCTGACAAGAAAATGCTAATTAATTTAGTGGCACAAACTCGACCATGCTTGGAAGCGCTTCCGCTTAGTTACAGCGTACCATTGACGTGATACTTGTTCATCTATCTTTCGTTCTATGCGCAATTCTTATAAAAATAGCTGTAACCTGCGTATATAATTTGCCCTACATAATGCCACGCTCTACTTAACGACTAAGAAATAATGCATTTCGCGGGAAACGCGCAGAAAATTGTTGACAAAGGCAATAACTTCTCGAGTACCAATTAGTTACGAAGCGATTAATATTATGTAATAGCGAACTGATCGACGACAATAACAGTCACGAGCAACTTGTGTATTATAAATCGGAAAAATTTCACTATTGCTTGTTCATATATTTTTTTTCAATAATATCTGCTCATATTCATATGATAACAGTAGATTAATCTTTTAGAGAGTAAAATGTCAATTTTTTTCTCTTGAAAAATTTTCTATATGCGAATAACAGGGACTTTAGATTATTGCGCAATATTATTGCACAATATTGTCTTGTTAACCGATAATCGTACCGTTCCGTGGCTTCTGTATGACATCATGGGTTAAAATCACTTTCCGCCATGCATTATATCGATCCGTGGGAGACACCTTTTGGTTCTCTATGCATTCATTGCATGTCCTATGCAAACTGAAAAACACGCTGCAAACGCATCGTTTTATCTATATAAGGGTTTTTTTTCTCGTATATAATGTGCACTCCGGATCGTGCATATTTATCTGACGACATGTTATTTTCCTATCTTGTACGAAAACATTTACGGGTTTTTATCATTTCTTATACGATAGAATTTGATAGATTTTTTTTTTATATAAAAGTTAAGGCAAACGCTTCTTGGAAAAGAAAATTTCTGAATTTTATTCACTTTTAAGAATTATTTCAATATAAAAAGAGCATGTTTAATATTTGTTATATGATACATCATTTTCTTCTACTTTTCTTCTACTTTATTCTAATCTACAATACTTGGAAGAGTTTTGCAAAATAGTATTTAAGTACAGAGTGTCTATACATTATAGAATATTTTTTATATATGGATTTTGCAATTGATCTAAAATCATGTTTTTTAATGCAAAATATTTATATTTTTCAGTAATCAATGATATATAGAAAATCAATCGTCGTTATTAAGCAAATTAACATGTTTAGAAGAAAAGATATATGATAACGAATATAAGATTATATTTTTTATATATTTTCTTTTCAATTAAAAAAAAAAGTATAAACTTTAATTACAAGAATTTTTATTACAGAAGTATAAAATGCTACAATATACAAATATATAAAAATTTTTGCTACTTAAAGATCATATTTAAAGTTATTTTGAAAAAAACTAGTAATTAAAGGAGACATATCGTATTCACATACTTTTATTATATGTTTGTGAGATTTTAAAGTTTATCGGTGATGAAATTTTATCAGCTATATCCGATTTCTTCAATGACGTATGTTTCATGAATCATGCTATTCGTCATCGAATGTTATGTATGTAGTAGTATTACACATACACTTATACAAATCTATATTTCATTGGCTTGGTAAAAGAGTATTTTTATACATGATTCACGCTATGTGGATGTGTATCCTTCACATCTTTTTTAGAGAACGGTAGATCTTGGATTGCAAAAACGTACAGAGACTGTTCCAGGATCTAATAACATCAAAATATTTTGTAGGATTATAATAGAGAGAGATATTTTTATAATTATTTTATATACAGTGGCGTGCAAAAATTTCCGGCCATTGACATTTTTTGTAAATATAACAATTATAACTATAAATACTTTCACAAACATAAACAATATTCTTTCACTATATTATTTTGTTTCTTATATGTTATACTCGCACCTGATAATGGTTAAAAAGTCATTAGGTTTTTTTTAATAAATTAGAGTATGGAATGTCACTGGCTGAAAACTTTTGCACGCCACTGTATATAGGGAATGAGTATTTGGAGAAATCTTGATTCCGCGCTAAAAAAAATCGTGAAAACTATTCTGAAAATGATGACGAAAATAAGTGCAATTGCATATTTGTAAAAACAAGTAAAATAAATGAAAATAAATCAAGTATTTTTTTTATTATGTAAAACCATAATCAATTTTTTTTTAGCAGTATCTCAATTGATTTTTAAATTTTTCTGGTAGCGTAAAATGTGCATTAAAAATAAAATCTTTTTCAATCAAATAAGTACATTTCGTTAATTTTGATTTTTTTACTTAAATAGATATATACTTTGTTTCGAAAAATGTTTTGTTATATTAAATAAATTATTAGTTGCATGTAATAAAAATTTTTAAAATACATTATTTAATAATAAGAAAATAGAAATAAAAATTTTTTTAACTGTTTATGTCACAGAGTTTATGCCAGCTATATGTACGAGCATCTACGATGTGAGATGCTGACCGATTTTTAAGAGTTCCGTGCCTATTTATACATTTTCTCTCGTAATTATTTATGAGTTTTTTCATGAAAAGATATGTAAGGTTCATATACACGTAAAGTCGGAATACAGAGAAACCGTTGTACTGAAAAAAAGTACTAAATCCAAAAACAGTTTCTTTTTATTGAAAAAAATTATTTATTTAAATAAACGTGCAAAGAAATTAGTTATTTTAATCAAGCAAGAATTAGTAAAATATATGCTTTTATTTGTAAATAAAAAAAATTGTTTTTTGTCTTTATTATACTAAATTACTTCTTTTAAAAAAACGTTTTATAATTTTTGGCTGCTTGTTTCAAAAACACAGGGTTTTCTTTATTTTAATAAATAATTTTTTATCCTCAAATAAATATTTTTTTTATATTAAAATTTCAGAACTCTTAATAATTTATAAATTTCCACAGAATAATACACTATAGCTTTAACATACTATACAGGGTGTCCCAAAACACCCTTGACAATGCTCGTGAGCAGGTAGAGCACAGTAAACTGAACAGAAAAGTCCTGTACCATTTTTTTCTATAACGCTTAATAAAGGAATTATTATTGAGTAAAGTCTGGCCAATCAGCGTCGACCTTTAGCCGCGCGCCTCGTAGTGTGCGTGAGCGTTCCGTCGCTACGGCGACGCACACTAACAGACGGGCGGCTCACTGACGTGCGTCCGGCTAAAAGTCGGCGCTGATTGACCAGACTTTATTCAATAATAACTCCTTTATTAAGCGTTATAGAAAAAATGGTACAGGACTTTTCTGTTCAGTTTACTGTGCTCTACCTGCTCACGAGCGTTGTCAAGGGTGCTTTGGGACACCCTGTATATAACTTCAGCTGTTCTGTATTTTAAAAAGATAATTATTACATCAGTTTTTGTATAACTTAATTTTAGTAATGACAGTGTTTTGGAACAATCTTATAATCGGATCTTAGATCTTAAGAGATCCAAGAAATATATTCTAAGAGACAAAATTCAAAAAAATAATTCAAAAAAAAAATTGATTTAAGAATCTATACAATGTATAATATATGTGTTTGTAAAGATATGATGATATCTTATAATTTGTAGATATTCTGTATTTATTTATCGCGGATGCTATTTCGTAAAACTTTTTCAAGTATTAGAAATTGGAATAAAGTAATATAAATCGAAGCTTAAGTTTGCACATTCCGTGTAATAAATATTAAACATGCTCTTTTTACATTTAAATAGTTTTTGTAAGTGAGTAGCTCTCTCTCTCTCTCTCTCTCTCTCTCTCTCCCTCCCCCTCTCGCTCTCCCTCTCCCCCCCTTCTTGCTTCTATTTTTCGCATGCAATGAAAACAAAGAATTAGCTTATATATGTTCACTCTACTGTTTATCAGAGTGTTTTATACGTCCTCTAATTTTGACATATATTTCATAACATTATCTTATTATTTTTCTTTGTCACCTCAATCTTTCAGTTTAAATTTGCTGTATTTTTTCCTTACAGTGATATCTTAGAAACTTAGTATATTTTCTTCATTAATAAATGATATGTAAGATTTATCAGAGCTTTAGCTGTCTGCCAAGGGATTCGAAGAAATCCAGAAATTTTTAAAAGTGTTCACAATTTTATGACACGAAGATGTATTTGTGCAAATGAAAGGAGGATATGAAGAATATCTCTTGTAAACAGAATGTATCAGATAATCTTTTATGTTTTCACATAGAACAATTTAGTTTTTAAAAATTCTTTATTTAATTTTTCTACATAATGTTCTACATAATTTTAATAATTGTTTAAGTTATTTGGTGCTATATATTTTTAATAAAGCTTTAGTGGAAAAAAAAAACCCACACACAGACACGGACACACACACACACATACACACACACGCACGCACACACACACGCATGGAAAGATTTATTTGTATATTTTGTTTTTGAATTATGAAAATCCGGAATTAAATTAAAATTAACCCTTTGCACTCTGCGGAGATTTTTGCGCCATAGTTTATTGCACAATAAATTTTATGTTTTAAAATCACAACACATTTTTGTCTAAAAATTATAATACTTTTTACTATGGTCGAATTAGAGAGACATTCTTTTGCCGATTTTATTGCTTAAACTAGTTAATGATAGAATATTAAAAGAATTTTTCAAATCATTAATTGTCTTTTGATAATGATGATGATATATAGGGTGTAACAAAAATGTTGGGAACAAATAAAACAGCGTATTCATCAGTGAAAAATAAAGGGTTTTTCTTATATTATTCTTATATTAGGTTAGTAGAAAAGTTTTTTCGTTCTTTGAAATTAAAAAATTAATATCCAAAAAGGAAAAAGCTTTTCCGCCAAACTAATACATTCAAAAAATGATTTTTTTTTACATAGAACATATTATTTGCTTAAATGTTTTTAGATTGAAAATTTATTTTTTTAATGACTATCTACTTACATATTACGATGTATCTAACACATAGTGCGCGTTCGAACTTCGTACGTCCTTAATTTTGTCTTTCTTCTGCTTAGAATTTGATCGTTAATTGATTTTCAAATCGATTGACGCGTCAAAACTTTTTTTGTCTTAAAACCACGGAAAACGAAGAATCGCAAGGCTACGATAGATGAGTGACAACATAACCGACGTGTTGGATCGTAGTCGAGTAAAGACTGATTATAGCCTGACCACTTCGCTATACTTGTACTTGAGAAGCATATTTGTGGTTATTCGTTACCAAGATACGACCACGTATCCTTTATCTCTGACAATTATCGCTATCATTCACCGCATGAATTCCGCCAATTACGTAGGTTGGATTTCGTAATCAGTTTTCGGATAACTTTAATCAGTGATGATATTTTTTGCGTTTCGTAAGATTCGTTTGTAAAATTTTTACATTTGCAAATTATATTATCGTGAATTATTTAAGACGCAATTTTATATGAAAATCTGTGCAAAATTTTTGACAAATTCTTTTTTTTTTGTTGTAAACATGTGCTTGCGTATGCGTATGGTAAGAATCAAATTATTAAAAGTAAAACCAAAATCCATGTAAAATATTAAATAAATATAATGATTTAAGTTCTTCTTACTGTTAACTTTCCTTATATAATATATTGTTTTATTTGATATTGATTAATATAATAATACGTCTTAAAATAAAACTACATTTGTACATATATTTTATTTGTAAAATTTGAAGAAGTTTATTTGTATAATATAATTTTATTATATAATATGTGGCTGAGAAATCAGAAATGAACAGATATAGCTCGTGAAGAAACGATAACAATGAATTGAATTTGATTGCGGCATTGCTCTAATCGAGAGTCAAGACCGTGCAGGTCATCGATTTGTGAATTCTTCTCGCGTGCGTCAAGGATGACAAAAAAAGCTATGAGCTCATAATAAAATCAACTGAATGAATATACAGGGTATCCCGAAATTAAATGTCAAAACTTCGGGAGCGTGTGGAGGATCGATAAGAAAAAGTTCTTTAGAGATTTGCTCGCTTTGAAGAAAATCGTAAAAAAAAAAAAAAAAAAAAAAATTTGCTTATATCTTCCGGAAGTGGAGCCTCCCCCGTAGGGGAGGGGGGCGGAACCCACTGTCTCCACGCATATACTTTCCCATCCATACAATAATTGTGGGGTCGCGATGTGGGGTATCATTTTCTTTCCATCTTTAAAATATAACGAATAATTATATATCTATATTACATTAAATAACTTCAAAAAGACGCATGTAAAAAAATTAATGTTAGAATAAAGAAAAAAGTTTGAAAAATATAGCAGTTATTTTGAGTATCAAAAGGCATAAACGACTAATATATATGTGGAAATAGTACATGTATGAACGAATTGGGCAGACCTCGCTTCGCGTTGTAAAGTATATGCGTGGAGACAGTGGGTTCCGCCCCCCTCCCCCTCGGGGGAGGCTCCACTTCCGGAAGATATAACCTAACCCAAACCAAATTTTAGTTTTAAATCAGAAATAAGTTTGGGTTAGGTTATATCTTCCGGAAGTGGAGCCTCCCCCGTAGGGGAGGGGGGCGGAACCCACTGTCTCCACGCATATACTTTCCCATCCATACAATAATTGTGGGGTCGCGATGTGGGGTATCATTTTCTTTCCATCTTTAAAATATAACGAATAATTATATATCTATATTACATTAAATAACTTCAAAAAGACGCATGTAAAAAAATTAATGTTAGAATAAAGAAATATAGTCAACATATATGCAAAAAAATTTTAATTAACATGTAAATCATGTAATGGATACATAGACACACATTTATATTGTCAACTTCATTTGTTAATAAACAATTTTTAATGAACAATGACCGACGGCTAAAACCTTTTGAATGTTGTTCAGGGCCATGACCTTGACAACATACGTCAAGATCAAAGTCATCGGAAGTGCCTCCCCTCATCTTCATTTTTACCAAAAATTTTTATCAAAAGACTTAAAATGACACTAAAATTATTAAGTTTATCGAAAAATACCACATAGAGGTAAAAGTTGTAAAGCATGGAATTAAGATAAGAGAGTGAATTAAAATTCTCCTGAAATAAAATTAGAGAATTGTAAATAAATATGCGATAACGTAAGATTATTGTATTCTGTTTACTTTAGTTTATGTTTACATTTCTGCTTGATAGCAGAATTAAGGAAGTGACAATATGAATAAATAAATATAAATAAATAAATAAACTGAAACGAAAAAAATCTCATTTTTTTACTTATTTATTTCTTATTGTAATAAAGAAAAAATGAAAATTTTTTGGTTTTACTTTATTTATTTATACTTATTTATTCATGTTGTCACTTCCTTAATGATAGCAGAAATGTAAACATAAATTGGTGAAACTGCATAAAAAGTAACAGACCTCCGATTTTATCATAAATTTATTTTAAATATGTTATAAGGGAGGTTCTTCTGAATAATTTCCCGCAAAAACAATTGTGGGGGCGGCATTAGTTTAAAAGATATAACAAATTGAAGTTTGGGTAAAACTGCATAAAAGGTAACACTTCCGGAAGATATAACCTAACCCGATTGTTGACAACTTAGAAGGTCATAAACAGTTTGTTTCAATGCAAAAATAACAAATTATACAGTATATACATATTTTAATATCAAACTTCAATTTGTTATATTTTTTAAACTAATGCCGTCCTCCACAAATTTCTTGCAAGATATTACTCAGAAGAACCTCCCCTACAACATATTTAAGTAGCAATAAAATCGGAGATGTGTTAGGTTAGGTTAGGTAGGTCTTTTATGCAGTTTTATTCATATCAAACTAAAGTAAACAAAATACAATAATCTCGCGTTGTCGCGTATTTATTTACAATCCCCTAATTTTAATTTACTCTCTTTTTTTACTTCCATGCCTTACAACTTTTATTTCATGATACTTTTGGATAAACCTAATAATTTTAATGCTGTTTTTTCATTTTTTGTTGAATATTTTTTTGTTTCCTTTTTTGCGATTTTTTTTTTCAAAACGAAGCAAAAACGAGCAAATCTCTAAAGGACTTTTTTTTTAGTTTATTCCCCACACGTTCCCGGAGTTTTGATATTTAATTTCGGGACACCCTGTAAATCGCGTTTATAGACAGCCTCAAACTATGTTAGCGAAACTTGCGTAATACCCGCGATCAATGTGTCATTATATATTTCTCAGTTTTATAATATTCATATAGCTTTCGACGAATATAAAATTCAGATAAACATTAGCAAGGATATTAGTAGAAATTTTTGCCGCCGAAATATTAGCGCCTAAAATAAATTTGGGAAAGTATTATCTTTCTGTGATCACTTTGTGTGTCGTATGATGTCACACGACGCGTGATGAAAGGTTTTAATTATTAACGCGATAAAATGACTATTTGACGATATGTTAATCGCACACATTAGCGTTTATACTTCGATAATTAATCTTTAAAGTAGAAGTATCTGTTTTTTTTAGAGAAAGTAAATAAGTAGATAAGACAAGTAGATAGTTTTAGAACATGTACACTAAATTATGTTCATATATGTATATGCGATTAATGGCGCATGTGTGTATTAAGATTTCTATTGCAGCTATTACGTATTAAATTTTGATATCAGCAGCGACAGATTATGTGAATGTTTTCCTTGCGTCATATATCGAAATAAATTAGTTTTTTTAAATTTTACTATTAATTCAATAGTATAAATTAGTGCACTAAATATAAAACTTGTTATAATCAAATAAATACATTTTGTTAATTTTGATTTTTTTTACTTAAATAAATAGATAATTTATTTCGAAAAGTGTTTTGTTATATTAAATAAATTATTAGTTGTATAGTAATAAAAATGATAATTTTTAAAATACATCATTTAAAATTTTAATAAAAAAATATTTATTTCCCCTCTTTCTTTCTCTCTTTGCAACTATTTAAATAAATAATTTTTTTACATAAAATTTTTTTAGATTTAGGATTTTTTAGTGTGAAATATCGAAAACTTCTTTTTTATTATGTCCCATTAGTAAATACACGTATCTTATAAGAGGAAAAATTTAGTCTACATCTAATTTCCAGCGAAAATGGATCGTATGATAGTTTATCAAGATTTATAGCTATTTATAGCTATTGTATTTTCAAACCGAAAAGAGGATCTTCATTTTACCAATTTGCATTCGTCGAATGTGCATAATGGCAAAGATTTATTTATTCCAATATACAATACAAGGAAAAGTTTACGAGATTTCTTGTTTGTGACATTATAATTCAAATACGGCTGCTGGAAAAAACAGGAGCTTTCTTAAAAACGCGATTGAAGTCAAATGATATTCCTATTCGAGCAGTGTTTTCTCGTATAATATTTATCGAATTTATCAATCAAAATTGAAAATTTTGAAGCATCCGAAATGGGTTGTGAGTCGTAGGACGTAAGTATTGATCGGTGCAGTTGTTTCTCTGTATTCTGCGGTATCGTGTACAATACATGCTTGTAATCTACGTATAACGTCGGTTCTGCATTGCGTCGCATCCAGAAAATGCGTCTAAAATTGATTTTATGGATAAAATATTGCGATTTTTCAATTGTTTCTAAAAATTGATTGATATGATATGCTGTATCATCCAGCATTTTTGTATACAAAATATACGACGTAACGAATGACGTAATAAAGAAAGAGATAATTCTATACGCAAAAATAATTCGAGAACGTAATATAATTGATTAAACTGCTATGTTTTTCATTTTCACCAACAAACTTGATTGTGATTGATATTTTTGCAAATGTTTCTGTTCGCATTTAATTTATTTCTGCTCATTTTTAGTATTTTAATAGCACAATCAATATTTTGTTATTATTCTTTCTTGACACTTATAATTGTATTAATAGAGTTTGAAAGTAACAACTTCTTAATATTTGTGATATAATATAGCAATATACAATTAAATTCTTTTTACATTAAACAAAACATTATTACATGAATATATGTAAGTAATAGCAATTTGCTATGTTATTATAGAGTGTAACAGTTGAAATTGAAAATATTTTATATTTATTATGTAAGAAAAATAATGTTTACATCATCGTAATTTAAGGGCTTCTGCATGTGTGAAAAAAAACATTTAAAAAAATTATTTTATTTGTAAGTTCTAGTTTATCAATACTTGACATTATAGTTCACCAATGTTTAGTTAACGGGGACGCTAAAAGATGGAGTTAGTAGTCTTTATATGATTTTTGTAACTATACGAATAGCATTATCATTTTTATCAAAATTTTATCAATTTTTTATTTTTAGCTTAAAAAGTGCTATCGAATAATCGGGAATATTACTTCACCAAATTTACGCGATAATTTCAATAATGATATAATCATGAATGTTATGAAATAGCGAAGTTCATTCGGAAAATCCATCTGTTTTCTTGCCTTTTCTTCTTGTGACATTTAAAATATTTTCGAAATTGTGCCAAACTTTTCCCTTAATTATTTGGTTGCTCTTTATTTATCACTAAAAGATAGAGATGGACATTTTTTAAGTGATTTCTAAATTAACGAATATTTTGTCTTGAATAAATGATGAATAAAATATAATTAAATCAAATTACAAAGGTGTGACAGTTCTGCTTTTATAAGATTTTCGATTTTATTTTGCAAAATATTATTAAACGATAAGGGATATATTGAGTATAACTAAAAAATGCACTAAGGCACTAAGGGAATACACGTATTCTTTTTCGTTATTCATTGATTACATATCTAACGTGTGTTTAACGTAGACGTTTTATTTTTAACCACTCAGACAAGCAGATGGGATTTTGCTGAAATGGCCAAAGATTATTATTCGCGTAAATCACCGCTTTGGCGATGTTTCGAATAACGCAACGTTGTTGCCAGAAATTGCCGAAATTTTGGCATCTTTCGTCGGACAAAAGTGCATTATTATTGAGTAATAGAACATACAGAAA